GTGACCGTGCTCCATCTGCTAGGGCCTCTGATTAATACACACTTCCTGGGGAGCCACCAGGCTGGCTCTGCTTCCTTGGCTGTGTCTGTCTAAAGCAGCCGGAGGTGACCCAAATATAGCCCAAATGTGTTAGTTAAGGTCCTTTCAATTTCAGGCAACAGAAACCCACTCTGGCAGAGTACAAAAAGGGAAAGCCTTATTTTAAGCCATTAGGGCCACCTCGTTGAACCCCAAGGATCCAAATGAAGCTGAGGGCGTAGAAAACTTCAGGGAGCACACAGAATGCTCATCCTCTCGCTTTGTGTTATAATGTGAGGCTGCCGCGTCCTTTCCCTCTGAGCTCTGCCTGCTCGCTTCCCCTCTGGAAACTATAGGGCTGCCCTCAACACCTGGCTTTGAATACAGGCTGAGTGACATCACTCTTCTAAGTGTCGAGGCTGCATCTCTCATTGGCCTCTCTGAGGCAAGAGCTTCACTCCTCACTCCTATGGGAGCAATTGCATTCTGATATTAAGAAAAACCAGCAGAAATTCTAGGTAGGAATGTGGACATGCTTATTATTATTACAAGTAAAGGAATCATATACAATTGTGTATCTAACAGAATAACAACTCTATTCATGCTTGTGGTTGAAGGTAAGAAGAGGCCACAGGGAGACGTAATAAATGGATTGCATTATGGCAAATTTGGTTTATTTTGCTACTTATGAATACTAATAATTGCCATCTATGCTGTAGTGTATGATTCAGGATGAAAGGTCATTGGGTGGACACTCTTCACATTTGTAGGTAGGAAAACTAAGGTTCAGAGAAGTTGTTGACAAATAGTAGAGTGCAGCTCTAGACCTCATGCTCTTCCAGCTGCACTGTTTTGTGTCTCATGCTATAAAGTTGAAGAAAGAAACATAACTTTTTCTACATGCAGCCAGGGAGTCCTGAAGTCATATATGGTGCAAGGAAATAAGAAAGGGGCCGTTTTTGGGGGGAAGAAACTGGGAAGAAATGAGAAGTTTCAGTCTTCTTTTCTTTGGGTTCAAGAAATGGCTGGGGGAACAGCCAGTCCTCTGTGCCCAGTCCTGTGTAGGAGCTATACCAACGAGGTGCCACTAACCCTAACTATGCCAAACTTCCCCGGGGATGCCCGAGTCTCCGCTATTAGAGATGGCTTTGCATTAAGGAAGTGCGGGAGCCTCAATGTTCTCCAGATTTGAGAGACGGATTTATCTTTTGTAAAGATCTTGGCTGGATATTCTAAAAGCTCCATTATGGATCCACACATGACCCACCTTTTTCTAAAATATATAACACCAAATACTGGTTGAATGAACAGGGCCAGTTCACCTACATGTGCTGTACTTTCCACTTCAGGGACATAATATAATTTTTTAATGCTAGAACAGTGAGGATATTTTGCCCCATGTCAAACATGTTATTGGAGATAACACAAGTTTTCAAAATCCAAGAGGAGAGGGGAAAAAAAATCCCTCCAAGCACTGCTTTCTGGTAATTTGGGTTCTGGAGGAGGATATGTGATCTTGGTCTGGAGCTCTAGGTGGGCTCTTCCAACCTCTGCCAGGAGGGTCCTATTGTCCAGAGATGAAGATTGGGGAGCTCATAATGCTAATGATGCATAAATGCACTCAGTTATTTTATTAAGCTGGCCTTTCCAAGTTCATTATCACCACTATTTATGGTTGGGATATGTTCCTCCAGAGACTCTGCAAATAGCTCTCCTATTGTTCAGGTAAAATTTATAGCTCGCTGAAGAAGAGGCACCACGTGAGTACAATCTTGCTCTTCTCATGGGAAACCAAAGCTCTACCAATGGTTTTGGGTGAGTGCAGACCTTCGGTCTATCGGCCCAGGCATCTTTTAAATACAGTGGATTAACTATGCTGCTATGAATCCAACAGGGAATGCAAAGGTCTGCAAGCTAGCAGGTAGAGAGGGACAGTGCACATTCCCCGACACTGCATCCTCCTCAGTTGTAACTGGCTCTGGAAACTTCTGCCTTCTGTTGCCAGGCTCTACTCTGACAAAGATTCACAGTTTCCTCTGGATGCAAAGGTGCTGGCAAGACTGCTGTGAGTTCCCTGACTGGTGGGATCGAAAGGCCTTCTTCCCAGAAGCAGCCACATGGAGCCCTGGCACTTGTGGTGGTACCATCTGCACCTGCCAGGGATTTCACACTGTTCCATCTCAAATGGGGCTTGAAATTTCTGGCCAGGCCAGGGGGAAGGAAGTGGCTTTGGGACTCAGCCACACATCTGCTGGCGAGCTCTGGGTGGGTCGCACAAGTAGGGGGAGGGATGCCCTATTCAGGTGTTGGAATCAAACATCATCTCTGGGACACTTGAAAACAATGATCAATTCTGTACTTTCTGAAAACAAGTTGTGGGAGGGTATGGAGAGATTTCATTAGAGATCCTATTCAGTTATAAGTACCAATCCTACCAGCATAATCAGACCAACACAAGGTCACGTATCTGCTGCCTTGAGGATACCTGACCTGAGGCTCAGGTGAAATCCTCATCTGCAAAACCAAGGGGATCCTATGGTTTTCTTTTGCTTTGAAAATTTGTAACACCAAAATAGAAGGGATTTCTCCTCATTAGTGCATTTCCTTGCCTTTTGGAATCTAGCAAGATTTTGTTTATGTTGGAACTCTGAGCAGATGTGGACACTGTACAGAGATGAAGGAGTCCTCTATTATGGTACCCAGACTTTCCTTGGCTGAAGGAAGAGGTGGGATGATGGGGAAGCCCTTACCTGCGATGAAGCCCTGCTCTTCCGGTGAATTACTTTTAGTTACAGGCTGTGTCTGGGCCCAACCAGGAGAGGATAAAGAAAATGGGGTGGGGGTGGGGAACAATTGGCACTGGAGACTCTAAGGAGGGCAAATAGAAAGTAGATGGTATCTAAAGGTAGAGAAGTGGAGGATAAAGGTTTCTAAACACAGCTTTAAAAAAAGATGCATGACAAACAAATTACAACATATTATCCTGGATAGGAGCCAAGATTTTTTAAAAGAGCAGTTCTTAAAGGCATTATTTGGACCCCTGTGGAAATTTGAATATGGTTGTATGTTAGATGGCATAATTATGTTGAATTAAATGTCATATGTATGAAACTGGTGTTGTGGTTATGTAAGAGGATATCCTTAGTTTGGAGAAATACCTGCTGAAGTGTTTAAAGTACTATGGCCTCTGCAGCTTTTGTAGGATCTGTATGTAAAAAATATATATCTACATATGAGATATGTATGCACACAGAGGTGAGGCAAATGTCACAAAATATTCACAGTTGGCGAATATGTGTGAAGCTTATATGATGCTCATTGTGCTATGCTTTCTAATCTTCTGTAAGTTTGCAGTATTTTAACATAGAAAGTGTGGGGACCTGCCTCAAAGTCAGATATCTGCCGCAGCACAAGTTCTCTGCCAAACAATCGCTTCTTCTGGGCTCACCCCTGGGCTGAGGGTCCCACTCTTGTTACAGCTGAGGATCATTTTCCTGTTTGTTCTCTTCTCTCTGAGACAGAGTCAGAATTCTGCTCGGAACCATGCTGACCCGGTGACATGAAACCCCCAACCCCCAGGCAGGCCTTGGAACTCATGTGTGTCCTAGGCCACTACTTGGCATCACTCAAGCCTTGAGGATCTGCCTCAGGTCTTCCTTTTGCTGAGATCCTCGTCCCTCCGTTTGGGTTGGCCATGACAGCCTCCAGGAGTGCAATGTGGTGTCCAGGGGATATGTAAGTAAGAAGTGCACTACACCATTCTCCACCCTTGGCTTGCTGTGGAGGAGCAGCAGGAATGTGGGTGAAGGTGCCCAGGGGCCCCAGTGCAAGGTGAACTGGACGCCAGATGAGTCCTCTGTGAGGGTGAAAGGACAGAGCCTCAGAAGGAGAGGCAGCCTGCAGCCCTATCTGCAAGGCTTTGTTTCTTATTCTTTCAACGAATCTCAAAAGAATTATGTCAAGTGAAAAAAGGTCAATCTCGGATGATTATTTATCATATTATTTCATTTAGAGAATCACATTCTCGATGGGACAAATTTATGTAAATAGAGGACAGACGAGTGATGGTTGGGGGCCACGGGTGGGAGTAGGGTGCTGCTACACAAGCGTACTAAGAGACCAGGGATGGAGATGGTTGGTTTGTATGTTGACCTGAGCAGTGTCAGTTTCCTGGTTGTGACACTGAATTAGGGCCCTGGAAGATGTTGCCAGGGGCAGGCTGGGTAAGGGGCATGCAGGATCTCTGCTGCTTCTGTATTTTGCATATAATTAAATTTCTTGATACATTTTAGATATACATAATGATCATATTCATCATAGGGAATTTGTACCAGTACATGATATATTTTCTGTATTTTTCCAATCCTCTCTCCTTTCAACATATCTTCCCCTCCCTATTTACAAAGCTTTGTTTCCATTTTATCTTTTTTCAATTTTTTTTCCCTTTTCTCTTCCTTCCTTTTCTCCTCCCACTACCCCAGTTCTTCTTTCCTTTTGAACAATTTCTTCCTATTTCACATGTCACATGAATCTCCAGTTATTTCAAAATACAACACTTACTTTTAAAAAGGAGGATATAGGTAAAGCAAATATGGCAAACTATTAACATCTAAGCAGCTTAGTGTATGTGGAAATCTGCTGTATTTGTTACATTATTTTAATATTTGAAATGCCTAGTAAAAATAAAACCCTCTGGCATTATCTTGTATGTGTGCAGCCTTTCCCAGGATCCATACCTGGTCCCCTTGGGCTGGTGTGACAGAAGTGGTGGTAAGAAACACTTGGTAAGGGCTGGAGGAGGTACTGAGCTCTGGGGCTGAGCTCAACTGCAAACCATGCTCCACCTTCTCACCATCATGGAAATGGGCAAAGTTACACTCCTAAGCTCGGTGACAGCTAGTCCTAGACTAAAAGAACCGCCCCAAAAAAGGCTAGAAGCTTTCAGTTTCTAGAATCCTTCAGCTCTCAAAAACAGAGACATATATACCAAAATCTGTTTATTATTTAGTAAAAAGTACAAGTTCACAGTGCAATCAAAAGGGACTAAAAGAGACAAGTTAATAATTCAGATGTAAAAATAGAAAATAATGTCCACAACTTAGTTAGACTGGGATATAATTCTAGGAATCATTAAAGAGGAAAGTGTTTCCAGTGTCGTGAGGGCAGATGTGACTGTAGCAGGTCTACTCACACGGATTCTGAATGACGATCAGAAGGTATTCTTTATCTGTGGAGAGATGTGGGCAAAATTAATTCACCCTAGAAATTCCACTTAGTACTGGCACACAGCTGCTGATCTTCCTTTCTCTTTCAAATATCACATGGCCTTTGAGACTGATGGCTGCTCATCAGAATCATCTGGGTATTTAGAAACTTCCCATCCCAGCCTGGCCACTGAGAGTCTGAGTTCATTGGTCTGGGGATAGTGTCCCAGGCATGGGCCATTATATAAAAATGCTCTCCAAATGAAATTACAAAGCTGTATTTAGTTTTTTGGATATTCTAATTTTTTATTTTATGGAAAAATAAAATTTTATAAAAATAGAATAACAATAGTTAATATACTGAGTGTTGTTATCTTCAAAGTAGTTACTCAGAGTACAAGATATGTGCATAAAAGTTCTCCAAACAATATTGACACAAACCTTTTTTTCCCAATGAACTAAAAGAAGCTAGTAGTATAAATATCTTGTATTTTTTTCCTTTTCCCTTCCTTCCTTTCCCCTATCCTGGTTCCTCTTTCCTTCTGTATAATTTCTTTCCATTTCACAATATCTATTGTACATTTTGGGCCTTATTTACTCTTTCGGTTTCTCACACCAGGGAGACAATATGATGTTTACACATGTGAATCTCATTTATTTCACTTATGAGTATGGAATCTCAGTGTTGTTTTAATTTGCATCTCTTGAATGACCAATGACGTTCAACATTTTTCGTATATTTATTTGTATTTTTATTTCTTCATGTGAGAAGTGTGTATTCATCTCAGATGCTCATTTTTGGATTGCGTCTTTGAATTTGGGTGGCTCTGGTTTTTTAATTCTTTATGTATTCTAGATATAAGGCTTTAGTCTGAGGGACAACTGGTTAAAATTTATTCCATCCAGGGATGCAGGGATGGTTCAACATACACAAATCAATAAATGTAATACAACACATTAACAGAGACAAAGGCAAAAATCACATGATCATCTCAATAGATACAGAAAAAGCATTTGACAAAGTCCAACACTCACTCATGATAAAAACCCTACACAAAAAAAAACTCTACAGAAAATTGGAATAGATAGCCTTTATTTCAACCTGATAAAAGCCACCTATGACAAGCTAGCAGCCAGAATCCTACTAAATGGTCAAAAACTGAAAGCTTTCACTCTAAAACCAGGAATAAGCAAGGATATCCCCTACTACCACTCCTATTTAATATAGCTCTGGAAACACTAGCCAGAGCAATTAGACAAGAAGAAGAAATAAAAGGAATGAGGGTGGCAAAGGAAGAAGTTAAACTATCATTATTTGCTGATGACATGATGCTCTACATAGAAGATCACAAAAACTCCACCAAAAGACTTGTAGATTTAATAACCAAATTCAGTAGTGTAGCTGGATACAAAGGCAACACTCAAAAATCAATAGCATTCCTATACAAAAGCAATGAACTCACTGAGAAAGAAATTAGGGAAATAACACCCTTCACAAGAGCATCTAAAAATGAAATACATAGGAATCAATCTAACAAAGAAAGTAAAAGATCTATACATTGAAAACTACAGTACTCTAAAAAAGGAGACTAAAGAGGGTATCAGAAAATAGAAAGATATCCCTTGTTCACGGATTGGAAGAATCAACAAAATGAAAATGACCATGCTCCCAAAACTGTTATACAGATTTAATGGAATCCTAATCAAAATATCATTAGCATACCTCACAGAACAAGGGAAAATTTTCCTAAATTCATTTGGAACCAGAAGAGGCCTCGAATAGCAAAAGCAGTTCTGGGCAACAAAGGCAAGTCAGGGGGCATCATAATCCCTGACTTGAAATTATATTACAGAGCTTCTGTGATAAAATCAGCATGGTATGGGCAAAAAAACAGACCTGAGGATCAGTGGAACAGAAAAAAAGATACAGACACAACTACAAACACACATTCAGCCACTTTGTCTTTGACAAAGGGGCTACTGGAAAAAAGATAATATCTTTAGCACATAGTGTTGGTAAAACTGGCTTTCCATATGCTGAAAATTAAAACTAGACACATGTCTATCACCATCCACTAAACTAAAGTCAAAATGGATCAAAGTTCTAAATATTAAAACAGATACACTAAATCTGCTGGATGACAAAATGGGTAGAAATCCTGAAGACATAGGTAGGCAGAGAGTTCACGAACAAAACCCAGATCGCAGGGAAAATACTACAAAGAATCAACAAGTGGGATCTCATTTATTAGAAAGCACTTGCACATCAAAAGAAATCACCAACAGTGTGAAAAGACAACCCATCATGTGGCAATTCTGATTTGATAGATGCGCTACAGAGAACTTTGTTCTAGGCTGGATTTAGGAGCACAATATAGTCATTTAGTGACTCTTTGTAGACGGATATGCTTTGTGGATGCTGCCTTCCTGTAGGCCAGGATGGCTACACTTTATTCTTTGGGCTCTCCCCACTTTATTCTCCAGACCAGGCACGTGTCTGCATGCTGTACAGTCTGTGTGCCTGATTCACTGAAAAATGAAAGTTACATCTACTTTTTTGTTAACTAACAGTAAATGCAAAATGGGCAAATTCAGTTTAATCAAAGGTCAAACTGATCATTAATTTCATAAAATTTTCAAGTTGGAATCTTCAGATTCAAACATCTTCATTTTGTAACCCAAGCAAATCATGCTTTATATTGTATATTAAAATCCATATTCCCCGCTCTTTGGAACAAGGCTTTTAACCAGTAAAGTGGAAAGGTGCTTTAAATACACAATGAAATGCCAAGTTACCTGGAGCTACCATGATTTCATGTTTCTTTGACCTGATCCTCAGGAAAGTTAAGTCGTTCTGAGGGTCAATATCACGGATCGTGCTCTTGGCTTTTATTGTGAGCTGGTGAAGAAGGCCTGCATACTGAACCGTGGTTGAGTTGTCCAGAGTGGTTCGGATAGGGATGCCTATTACGAAATTTGATTTTGGGTTAACATTTTTTTCTGATTATAAAAGTAGTATGAACATCATAAAGTTACTGCAAAACACTGCTAACTGCAAAGAAGAGGAAAAAGTAACAGCAGATACTACTGGTATCAATTTTAGTTTACAGCCTCACAATTTTTTCTTTTCTACATAGATTTTTAAATATAAATCTAGTCAAACTATGTTTATGAAATTGACTGTTGCTTTTTTCCTCCTTTAGGTTGGAGCATACAGTTGTTCTTATTGATAATATAGTTTTAATCTTGACAGACTTAAATATTTTGTGGACATTCAATCTCCTAATGTTTGGACAATCAGTCTTTACATTTTTGCAGGTAACAGTGTGTACACTGTGTGTTCATCATTTGGAAGCTGTTCATTGATTATTTGAGCCCTAAGTGAGTGCATTTCTACATAAAGTGTTTCCCTCCAGCATCCTATCCACAGCAAGTCTGCTTTGAAATGCTTTGTATGAGGAGTGGTATGAGCCTTCCTTCCTGAAACCAGAAACATAAAGTGATATCGCTGCCCACGTTGGAGTCATCAAAAAAGATTTTTCAAAATTTGTCCCTAACACCTCGTACAGTATTTTGCAAACCTTACATTTTATGTTAGAAAGGCAAGGTAACAAAGATTATGTACTTTTTCACAGCATTCCCTGGTTTGCACTCATGTTTTATTTTAAACATTAGTAAGCTTGGCTACTTGATTGCTCTATTGTTCTATTATATGAGTATAAAACACAATCTATTAATTTAGCTGGAAGATTCTATCCAGACAAATATGCAAGTATAATTCAATTCTGCTCAAATCAATCCAGCTAATTCAGGTCAGCCAGTGCTTTGTACCTATTATGTAACAGGTGCTGTGATAGGCAGTGTATATATACACTATTATATCTAAACAAGGAGAGCCTTCACAGTATTTTGGGGGCTGTCAAATAGTTAGGAATTCCAGGGGTTTTATTTGCAAATGTGCCTTTACTGTGCAGGGACACATGGAGTGAAAGTGGGATTACTGACACATTCCTTAAGTGCCTGAATTAAGGCCAATCTATAAAAGACCCTCACCTGGATCTCCATTTTCCCTCAGAAAGTGTAGCTCCAGAAATGCTCACAAAAAGAGCACTTTCGAGAGTAGAAGAGTACTATGAACCGAAGGTTTTATCAAATTTTCATGAGACTGTTGGATGGAATCCATTTTTACCCCCAAAATGACTAGTTTCTTTTTAAGATAACTACTATCTCCAGAAGAGGTCTCGCTAAAGAATATAAGTATAGAACTTATAGGGAAGCCTAGTCAACAGATAAGGTATTATATACAACTGTTAATTTCTGCATTATTATTTATTGGTCATGCCTCCCCTGAAACGGACCAAGTTGTCTTTCACACCTGATGGAAGGTCACAAAGCACATCTTTAACAAACAGGAAACAGAAATGTTGCTGGCGCTCAACCTTTGAGGATCACTTTTGATGAATACTTTTATTTTGCATCCTAAATAGTGACAGCCTATGAAGTCTGCATTGCTCAGCATCAGCAAAAGAAATACAACCCGAATAAATTATTTAAAGTGTGGATGACAAGATTATGAATCAGATGTTCAGGCCTACTTAGTTATGATCCACTTCAATAAATAAAGCGGCTAGCCTTTCTGAATAATAAGGTGCATCATGGAAACACGTGGGCGTTTTTCATATATATTGCAGATCCTTGGAAACAAACAAGAGCTATTTAGTGAGTTTTGCTGAGTACCTTGTGAGGTAATTAAAAAATAACTTAATAAAGAGTAATTTTAGCACACAGTATTCTTGGTGTTCCTCCAGGTATATTCTAGGTCAACTCCAGAAGGTATACATTTGTGTTTATAATATTTAGTGGTGTCATTATTCTGTACCTTAACTTTCTTCAGTTAAAGAAATTGCTTGATTCAGTCTATGCAGAGGTGATTCATTCATGTTAATGACTATAATAGTCTGCTGGGTGGCTGTCCTATAATGTACTAACTAATTTGTCCTCTTGACAGGCATTTAGGCTATTCCTATTCTTTGACTCTTATAAACCAGGCTAAACAATATGACCCTAGGCATGTCATTTCACATTTGTATGTATGTATAGAATAAATTCTTAAAATGGAGCTTCTAGAACAAAGAATAGGTGCATTTTTAAGTTTGATATTGCCAAATGTATGGTGCTGCTCTAAAATATAAGTATATAATCCCAGTAAGCTGGTACTTATTATTTCACTGGATCATCTTCAACTGTACCTTTGCACTTTGGTTGCTAGATTGTATTTCAAAATAAAAGGAACTGGCTGGATGGCTGATAAAATCTAATGAAATTCAAGTGGTGGATTGTTAGAAGGCCAAGAATATTTAAAATTAATAGCCTACAGGAATTTGGCTTATATACATAAGAATATATGACAGATGTGACTGTGTGGGAGAGAGATATTTATATTCACTAGTATATAATGGAATGACTATGTTGTAATATTCTAAACAATGAGTGGTTTTATAAATAGGAAACCAATGTTAATAAACAAGCTCTGCTAATCAAAACCTATGTGACTCAGGATTGATAAATTGCTAAGTCTACCTTATTGTCATAAGGAGGTAATCTGTGTTTCCACAACAGCGAGACCAAAGGACTAATATTTAACATGGCCTATGAGGAGCTCCCATTCAATAAACACACTAGACCTAGCTAACCACAAATACGATGTCAGATATATTAAAGTAATTTGCCTATAATTAGTAGACCAAAATCATTAGTACAGAACAAGGAGATGCAAATGCCAAATTAATTAAATATTTTCTGTGCTAAATTTCATGAGATTTCTGAAAGCCAGATAGCTGTACTATAATGACTGATACTTTCATCTAAAATTGAGTAGGGTGTTGAAACTGAGCACTGATAACGTTGCATTCTGGTCACACAACTGACACTATGTACTATTAATAAACACCCTTCTCCTGCACTCTGGTATTAATAATCTGACCATAAAAACAAGCCCCTCAAGTATATTTTGGGGAAAAAGGTTAATTTAACTTTCAGGCAAAAAGTGACTATCCATATAAGTCTTGAAAAGTGCCCTGAATCCTTACACAACCTTATCCCAGGAGAGGGTAATTAAAAATTAATGGATATTAAAAATATTTTGCTGCCTTTAGATGCGAGAAGTTTTCAGGAACTTCAGGAAAATAAAGTAAAAATCGCTTTTTAATTCCAATTACTTTCTATAACATAGCCTTACTTTCTCCCTATTCAAATGTGCACGTGGCTATAGAAAGGGAGAGAAACGGCCTTCTCTGATGAGCAGAGTCATGCTCATCAAGTAAATATTACAAATTTATACTTCAATGTATTTGTAAATACTACAAATTTTAAACTTCCCCTATGGTTGGGATGGATTTACTGTCTTATTTGCCTATTATTAGTACACATGATGCCGTAGTGAGTATTCTTTTATCTAATTCTTTTCGTTTCTCCTTAGTATAAACTCCTAGGAGTAGGTTTACAGAGGCGGGTGTGGCTACTTTTGAGACATGTGAGGAATACTACCAGGGTTATGTGCTTTCTGAAAACACTGTCCCATGGAGCACATTAGATGAGTTGGCCTGGCTGCCATGGGAGAACGCAGCTCCACTGGTCCCCCGCCCCCTCCAAATTCAAGTCCAGCCTAAACATGGTCATCTGGTTTGGAGAGAGTCTTTGAAGACACCAGTAGGTAAAATGAAGCCATTCTGTGCCTCAATCCCATAACAGAGGACACAGAGGAGAGGATTCCGTGGGACTGCGGAAGCATGGGAGCTGGGGTGGAGCGTCCCTAAGCCAACGGACACCAAAGACCGACAACAACCACCGGAAGCTGGGGAGGAGCTAGGAAAGCTTTCCTGGTAGAACCTTAAAAAGACTGTGACGTGATGGTATCTTCAGTACCGTTTCTGGCCTCCAGACTGAGAGAATAAATTTCTGTTTTAAGCCACCAGGTGTGAGGGACTTTGTTGAAATAAACAAAGCACTGCAGCCCAAGCCAAGCTAAGGAGGCAGCTCTGTGAAATCATGCAGGGAGCCCACGTGAGGCATGCAGCAGAGTGCATGCAAATATTTGGAAATAAACTCAGTTTAACAAGATGCACTCACGGGGCCTGGGTCACTTCCTGGAGCTGTGTGGCATGACTCCTGACTTACCTAGAAGGACGATCGTAGATCCTCTCTCCCCTCGGAGTGTTTAAGCTGAGTGAATTAATATTTTTTAATTATATAAAAAATAAAATATTTTATATGTGAAAATTAGTTAAAATATCCACATTCTCACAATTATTTAATTACAATTCTATTAAGTGTTAGCTATTTTAGGGGGTGCACTTGACATTTATCATTCCATGAAATAATCACAACCTCTGGTAAAAGACAATATGTTCTTTTCCATTCTTAATGGTAATGAATTAAAATTCAGAGTTTAAATAAGAGTTTTGGTTTCTAGCTGCACTTTAAGGATGTATTGATGGATTCTGCCAGGACTGAGCTGATAATATGCCAGATTTACAGTTGTATCAGGAATTATGGGAAGTATTGAATTATTTCAACTAACAGTCTGGAATTTCTGGTATCTCTTGCCTTTACAAATATCTGAATTAGCAGTGAAACCAGCAGGCACCTTTCAGAGGTCTCTGCCATGGCTGAGCATGAGGAGGTGCTACGTGGATTCATCCTTAAGGAGGGTTGTGTGGAGAAAGAAAGGTCTGGTGGGTCTTCAGATGTCATAGGTGGAGCTGCACTGGCCCTTTTTATGCCATATGCACAAATACCATAAATAACATGCAGATGAGTCCTAAGTGATGTTTTCTAATTGTGGTAAAGGAACAATTTCACTTAAAATGAAGACTAAAACTTTGCATCTTTTATGATGTTAGCACAAAAACAAACTGCCAGCAATGACGGTCTTCCTATCTTAAACATGACAGCTTTACTGGCACTCCTGAATGATGAAAGAGAAATACTAAAGTATTAAAAAGGATATGATCTATGTGTTTCTTAGGAATATTTAGACATGCCTGGCTAATATGAATATCCCCAGCTTTTAGCAGAGTGCTTGGCATATAATAGGTACTCAACAATGTTTGATATATAACTGCCATAACTAAATTTACAAAATATGCTCTGTATTTCAAATTGAAAGATATTTGTTTCAAGGCTTGATACAATAAACAAACTCTTGGTTGAATTCTATTTGTCAAGAAGGCGCACCGTGACATATTTACCTTCTGCATTTACGACCATGGTTCCAATAACTCCTTTATGGCTCTGGATTCTCTTTAGGGTTTCCTCTACCTCTGTCTGGAAGAGATCAGAGAGGCAATTAATCAAAACGGTCTTTGTGGTGATATCAGTCCTAAGGAGAATGATCTTCAGAATGATACATGTCCCCCCTATTTCTTTAATGTAAAGTTAAGGTACTGGGTTCTATAATCCTGGATATTTAAAAGCCACATTGGAAATCACCAAGCCCTATATACAAAGCTATATAAGATCTCCCCTGCATTCAACCCTGACAGTTCTCTGGGCTTGCTCCATTTTAGTGACAGAGACCAAATTGCCTCACAAGAAACGTACTCTCACTAGAAAAGTACTTTTCACATTGCACAGAAATCTGCCCTGTATCAGCTTTAATAAGTTGATCTTTCTGTATTCACAAAAACCCCTTTTGTATATTATTGTCTTCCCTTCCTCTAAAAGTGGATTTTAATGAGAAACTGTAATTTTCATTAGTGCTTGGTGTTCATTCAGATGATTAAGTTTCAAAAGGGTATTGTAGAAAATAACATGTTCCAGGATTCCAGGGTTCTCTTGATAACTATAGCTTGAGTTTTGGTGCAAGCTGACTATCAAATCATGAATGATTATGTTTCAATCCCATGATTGAGTTTTAAACTTTTTTGCATAAACTCTATTGTACCAAGTTTTCTTCTTTTGTGAAGATGCCAAAATCAAGAATACTATTTTCTAAACATGCAAAAGCTGATCAAAATATAAAGTGAACGATTAAATTAAAAATTTTATACACTAACAAACACATTGCCATTAATTCTCCTCAAATTAATGCCATTTGCTTTTAACACACTCATGTCATAATTCTTGTCATTTTCTGAAGAGGTTCTGGAAGTTATCCTGTTGCTGTTCTACCATCCAATAGAAAATCAGGCTCATAAAACCATTATAGTGTTCTGATTTACCACTGTGCAACTCTGGCTCTTCCCCAAAGTAAAAGACAATGAAAGGTAAAAGTTTTGAATTGATTCAGAACATGGGGACAGCCGTGATAGTGCAACTAAAGACTTTAAATGTGTTTGAAGTAAGGAGGAATATTTTGAGAAGGATTAATGATAATGTGTCTTTTACTGTAATAGAATATTTTAATTTAAACATTCACATTTCTCCATCACACCTATATTGTTCATGTCTGAGCAGTCACTGGATATTCTCAATTTAAAGAGTATTCTGCAGTCTACTGATGAGGGATTGTGATATTCTACTCTGTCCCCCACATCACATAGGTGAACATTATGTTACTTTAGTCAAAAGATAGGGTTTTTTTTTGCACTTAATGTGGTCTGAGTAGTTATCTTTTCCACCATTATAGCAGATGTTTTCTCAATTTCAGGCCCTGCTGTATTAGGTTCAAATTTTTTGCTATTTTAAACACTATATCATTTGTCTAGCATGCTCTTTAACCTCACTGACAAAAAGCTTAAATAAATGTATTTTAAGAGGAAATTGTTTATCATGAAAATAAACGGAAACCTGGTATTATTTGTTATAAACAGAAATAACTGTGAAAGCAAAATGAAATGAAGACAGGGCACAAGTTTTGATTTCTACTGCAGGGAAAGCTTTGAACTGAAATCCCATCAGACTGAGCCCAGAGTCACCTCGCTTCAGGTGAAAAACAGAAATTACCAAACGACAGGACTTGGAGTGCCAGAAGCTTTCTCCTCACTAACGGCTTAAACAAATGGAAGGAGGAACTTTCCCACGACGTGACTCACCGGTTATGCAGCACATCTGGGCTATCTTATGTCTTGATGAATGTTTGCCATCTCGCTTTGGGACATGGCACTAAAGCCCAATACTTGTACAGGGAGTCAATCCTGTATTACCTTTCTGATGATCTCTAAGACAACGTCCACAGCTCTTTACAACCATCGTTCTGTTTATCTTTTCTTTGTTTACCTCCCTCTCCCAGTAGCTTCGCTTCTCTTGATTGCTGAGTCCTCCTAGTGCAGTATCTTAGGTCCCCCACCCCTTGCTTTCTCCAGTCCCTACTGTGCTTTTCTTTTCTTTTCTTTTTTTTTTTTTTTGTGGACCTTTCTCTTCTCCCTTCCTCTTTTCTCTTGATTTTCTTCTTCCTCAGTGTCTCCTGTCCCCCACCTCCATTCCCTTGTTTTCCCTGTTCCATTTCTTCCTTCCCCCCTCAGCATGAGATTTTGTTTGTTTGTTTGCTTTTTTTCTGGTACCAGGAATCGAACTCAAGACCTTGCGCTTGCCAGGCAGGCGCAGTGCCGCTGAGCTAAATCCCCAGCCCCGAGATTTTTTCTTTTTCATCTCTCCGCTGCCCCTTCACAAACATTCTTAACTCCCAAGATTTTTCATCTCCTCGATCTCTTTCTCCCCTTTCCAAATATCATCCTTGGCAAGAACCACCCCCAAGACAGCTTCCCCCCATCTAGGCATCTTTTTCCCCCTTTCCAGGGTCTTTTTGCCCCTCCAAGAAGCCTCTGGAGCCAACATCCGTGGCCGCGGCCAGGCAGCCAGGAAGCAAAGGCCCACGCAGGTCGGCGCCCTTGACAGTGGGGCAGTGACGGAGACCCTGAATTTACCATCGCGTGGCCAGCAAGACTCTGAGCTCAGCCTGGCGTCTCTTCTTCCCTGGCTGTCAACAGCGCTTCCAGCCGTTGCTAGGAGACAAGGGAGGAAGTGACCTTCCGGAAGCTTCGGGGTCGCGCCTGCGCAATCGCGATTGGGCAGCAGCCGCGGGGGTCGGCTCTTCCGCCCTGACTTAGCACCTGATGCCTCCGGGCCGCCGTAGGCGAAGGTTCGTGAAAGTGGCCGGTGGCTTACGCCTGTGCTCTTTCCGGACTTGAAGAGCAGTGGGACTGAGGAGGGCAGAGGGGCGTGGGCTTGGCTGCGGCAGGAGTGGCAGTTCTCTAAGTCCTTTAAGCATGCATTGGATGTAAGTGCCACTCAGGAACTGTTTGATTACCATCTGCTCCGTACCGGGCTCTGCTGGGGAAACAGACCAAATGCCACCAGCAGAGCTGTAATGTCCACGGTGATAAGTGTTGGGGCAGATAAACAGAGTGGGTTCATGTGACACCGGGTTTGGGCTGCCTTAGGTACTTGGTGACAGACTCAGCTGCCTTGTAACGTGTGCCTTAGCTCTGCCCTGTGCGGCGCCGACACACCCCTTCCTCCGTATTTATACTGACAGCATGGAGCCCTTATCTGTCCCCCTCCCTCCCTCTCTCTCTGTCTCTCTCCCTCTCCCTGTCTCTGTCTCTCCCTCCCTCTCTCCCTCTCTCCCCGCTGTCTCTGTCTCTCTAGCTCTCTCCCTCCCCCTCTCTCTCCATGTACATATACATATATATTCATTCATATGTATTCATGTATATCTCCCTATCCCGGAGCCAGTACTAGTACAGCAAGCGATCACACATCTTATGCTCGCAGCTCCTACCTAGTTGTCTGTATCGTCTTTTATTGCTCTTCACTCGGTTGAAGAGTTGGCCACTTACCAGAAGTCATTTGACCTTTTGAAGGGCGTTGATAATATTCTTGTAGCTTGGGAGGAAGAGACCAACGGCTGAAGGAAGTACAGCAAGGAAATTTTGTGGCTGGTACCTGAATTCCTGGGGTTTGAAGAGGACAAACACTGGTGATGAAATGAAATTATAAGGTGGGAATGCATCTCCATCAGGACCATGCTATCATGACTTCTTTATGATGATATGGATTCAGTGTGTGCTTCCATTTTCAGAGAGCAGTGTCACACCAAACAAGATGTGCTCCTTGCCAAGGGTGTCAGCTAGAAACTAGGAAGGATTTGTTAGGAAAGCTCTGCATTTGGTGGTTTTGGACTAGATCTGTTTCAGCTTGGATTCTGTCATTTTATGATAATAACTTATATACAAGAACATTCTGAGAAGCTCTAGTTCTGTTTCAGTTTTTGCTGGGGGTGGAGAGGTGATTCAGGACATAAGATTTCCCCTTTCTTCCCCTTCAAGAATTTATACTTCTCAGAAAGTCAGTTAACCTCACACTTTTGCACTGACTACTTGGGACTCCAACTGAGGTCATTTGGAAAGGTTAGTTAGGGTTCAGGAGAGAAATCTGAATCTGGTGTGTGTGTGTGTGTGTGTGTGTGTGTGTGTGTGTGTATAAAGATTTTCCTGTTAACTACCATTTTGCAGTAATAAAAACATAGATCTTTACAGTAATACTGGCCTCATTGTCTGAAAGACTGATTTTTGGGCTCTGAGTATTTCTGATCAAGGGGATTGCTACTTGCATGTACACATAGCCATTTGAGCTTTTTGTATAAAAATCAGTGGCAGTGCACCATATCTTTTATGTCAATCAGCGTTAATGAAGGAGCTGACTGCATATGCATGGGGTGTGAATTCCCTCATTTCTGGAGTCAGGGTGTCAAACTCATTCGATAGCTGACAGCTGTGATTAGAGCAAAGAAAGACTCCATCATGAAAGGCACTGACAGGAGAACCCAAGTGCTGAAAAGGAAATGAGAAGTAGCCCAACTGACTTCCAACCCACAGTCAAGTTTGACTCACTGTGCACAGGAAATCAATGAAGAGAATATGAGCCATTTTCTTCTCATTGATTTTCACTTCTAATTATTCCTTGGAGAAAGCTTGGTTTAATTTTTATGCCTATTTGGGGGACTATAATGAATATCCCAGGCTGTGCCGTATAAAGTGCCTTGGCAATATCTGACACGTCTCTACCCTGTCGTCAGTACAGGTGAATTCTCCTTTTACCCTCTTCTCCTTTTCCATCCCTTCACTTTGTTTTGACTCAGAAGTGCTAAGTAACTTCCAACTTAAGTGAAAGTATTGGTCAATAATACTTTTATTTGCAAATAATACTCTGATGTAACCCCAAACTGTGCTATATGCAGAGACAAATTCCATTACTTCTCATATAAGTTGTTCATAACGCGATGATTTTCTTTTAGAGAGGAGTCTTTCTTGCTCTTTAATAATTCGCTTTTCTCTGGTTGGCCTGAGGAAACCCAGGTAACTTCGTGCCTTTGAGTTTTCCCTTGGAATTTCCTGTAGCATCCCCTATAGCTATCTGGTGTTCTTTCTTTTCTTTCTTCTTTTTGTAACTAAAATTGAACTCAGGACCTTGTGCTTGCCAGGACCGGGAGCTGTGCCTCTGAACTACATTCCTGGCCCTATCTTTGGTATTCTTGCCTGTTGGCAAATACTATAAATTAGATCATACTGTATTTTATGCCCCCTTTTCCTCACAAGGCATTGTTTGTCAACCTAAATATAACTACTAGTATTCTGCTAGTTTCCCTCCAGGACATAGACACTAGATTCTTCTAAAATGCCCCTTAATACTAAGGCAGAATTAGAGGATGGAAGTGGTATCTATAAGTATTCTCTGTCACAGACCTAATATCTTACATTAATAGATATATAGATTTAGGGCTTCAAAAGATTTTCAAAACCATTTTTTGCTTGTTAGAACAAAGGCTGCCTCTGGAGTAATCTTGTTCAGGACCCAATTGTAACACAAGTAATTGCTTCCTACAAGGAAATCCTCCCTGATGGAATTGAGCAATTTCCTAGGGCACAGGATTTGGAGTTGCATGCAGCTAGAGTTGATGTTTCAAGGTGTGTTCCCTTGAATAAACAAACCCTCAGCTGCAGTTTCCTCATTAGTAAAATAAGAAAGATAATGTCCACCTTAGTGGGTGATGTTTAAATGGTATTGATGTGTATGAAACGCCTGAATCCCAGGTACACAATATGGATCATTTAATTGTATTTCTTTATTGAATTTTCCCTTCCTCTAGTCAGTTTTTCTTCTTCCCTCCTTTCTATACTCTCCTTTTTTCCCTCTGTCTGATCATTCTGCTTCACTTCCTTTTTCCTCCTTCTGTTTAACCTCCTCTTGCTTCAAGTCCTTCCTGGGAACAGTATCCAGAATCCATACAGTGGACTTTCTCAGTGAAGAACATTTTTTTTTCTCCCTTCAGACAGCCCATTATTTACTTAGAACCTTCCATTTCTGCTTTTTCACAATTCCCACTTTTGAATTCTGGCTCTAATTCCTATCTCAGTGCATTGCCGTTCACAGATGGTCTCTTTCTCAGGATAGGGGGCAAACTGTAAATATTTCCTCATCTATTAACTTTGCTCCGAGAAGGAAAAGGAAGAGCTGAAGGTTGCACTAAATCTCATGCACTTTATGTACCTCTTCTTTGCTCTGGTAATTCATCCACAAAATCTTATAAGCTATTTTCAAGATCTCTGTTCTATTTAGTTTCAGAATGACTTCGGTAACCATAACACACAAGACAGAAGAGTGCATAAAACCAGTATACGAGTGGGTGAGTGTCCACAAAGTGAACTCCTGTGCCACCTCAACCAGGTCAAGAGAAGTAAAACACTGTCCACATCCCAGGAGCTTCCATGTGGCCACTCCCAGTCACTCTTTCCGCCCTCCTTCCAGGGTTAGATATCAGGCTTCTAGCAGTATAGTCCATCTTGCTTCATTTTAAACCTTGCCCAGGGAATTATCCAGTGCACAATCTTTGGTTTTGGGCATCTTATGCTGAGCATGATGTATATGGCAGTCATCTGTGTTGTATGCAGTAGTAGTTTTTTCATTTTTATTGCTGTGTTGTAAGTAAACATCAACATTTATTTATACTTTTACCATCGATAGATATTTTGATTGTTTCTAGGTTTTAGTACTAAGAACTGCAGTGCCACAAGCATTATTTCATTTGTCATTTGGTGCACATGGGTATGAATTTATTTTGGGTATAAACATAGAGGTGGTGTTCATGGATCATAGAGTGAGATCTGTGCTCAGATAATGCCTGACTTTTCCAAAGGGGTCATGCCAGTGTACTGGGGTATCCAGCAATAGTGCAAGAGAATTATTTTGGGTTTACAGCCTTATCAATAGTTAATCTTGTCAGGATTTTAAATTTTAGCCATTTTGGTATGTGTATTGTCATATCTCATTGTGGTTTTAATCTCACTGTTGATGAAACTGAGCAAAATTCCTGTATATTTGTTGGGCGATTCTTTTGGATTGTGTGTGTATGTGTGTATGTCTGCCCATTGGCACTCTGGATACAAGCTCTTTATTGAATATATCCATGGATCTGCATACATTCACACACACACACGTTCTGCCCTGTGGATTGCATTTTGTTGTCTTAATTGTAAAGAATGTAATTGCAATAATCAATATTAATTTCTTTTATGAGATTAGTATTTTGGTGTCATGTTTAGGGATCTTTTCCCAACTCCATGATCGAGAAGATGTTCGATTTATTTTCTCATGAGTATCAAATCGACACCCTGGCTATGATCAGAATATGTCCCCCAAAGTCATGTGTTGGAAACTGAATTCCCAATTAGCAATGCTGAGAGGTGAGAGCTTTAAGAGGTGATTGGGTCATGAGAGCTCTGCTTGCATGCATGGATTAATGTTATTATTGTGGAAGTACATTCTTTTTAGGAAAGAGGATTCATTATAAAAGCCAGTCGGGCCCTTTCTTGTTTCTCTCCCACATGCTACTTTCTTGCCCTTCTGCCTTCCCTGGTAGGATAACAAAGCAGGAATAGCCTTGCTGGATGCTGGTGGGCATTTTGATACTGGACCTCTCAGTGTCAGAACTATAAAAATCAATTATCTAGTTTCTTTGCATATTACCCAGTCTGTGGTATTTTGTTGTAGTAATACAAAATGTACTCAGATAACCGAGTACTGAGAAGAGCACATTTCCCCACAGTTCTGTGGTACCACCTCTGACAGTATACAATATACAAAGTGTTCATGTATGTGTGTTCATCTTTCAGGGCTCTCTATTGTACTCATCTGGTTTGTAGCCCAGTACGATTCATCTTAATTTGATGTGTTATTATAAAGTCTCGACACTTGTTACAGTATAGACTTCTCTATTTG